CAACAACCCGTGGAGGAGGCACAGAGAGAATTGGGGTAGACAAAGAAGCAGGCCGCTGATCCCTGGCCAAGTGGCGATGTTGTGCATGTCGTCGATATATATATATTATATATATCCATCTCTCTCTCTCTCTCTCTCACACACACACACACACACACACACACACACACACACACACACACACACACACACACACACGCATACATAGTGGGGGAAGCATGCAAACAGGGAAAGAGGGAGGGAGGAGCAGTGGATGGTCATGAGTGGGAACCTGCAGTCTGACAACAAAGCAGAGGATGGGAGCCATGCATATAGTGGTTGCGTACCTAACGGCATGGAATTGCTGGATGACAGTGGAAAGAACCCTGACACCATGCATTGCATGCTGGAATTCACCTCTCAGTACATTCGTGCTCTGATCACAGATACCCTGCAACGTTTTCCTGTGTTCTTCCAAGCCCTTCACATAGAGCCGGCTAAACAAAAATGCAGAAACTCCCAAGCCCAGAAAGAAGCACAAAATTGCAGAAGCTTGCTGTCGTCTCATGCTCCACCTCCACTTGTCCTGATCCGCCTGACTGCTGCCCCAACCAAGAGGCCTAGGCGCTTGCTGTTTTTTCCTACGACGAATACCTCTACAACCACCAGCTCCTGCTCGAGCGGTATCAGCCTCAGAGTTTCCAGCAAAAGACAAGTGTTCCCTCCTCCTCGCATTCACCAATTCACGCTTACTCCTCCTGGCCTGGGTCTCCTGCTCCTGGGACTGGTGTGAGGTGATTTGTACAACTTGGTGCGCGCCTTCAGACAAGCTAGTTGTAGCAGCATCGGCAACAGGAGAAGGAGGAGAAGGAGGAGGAGGAGGAGGCTTGCCACTTCTTCCCACCGCAATTCCAAGCCTGTTGATGATATTCCAGGTCCATTTCCACTTCCCTTCAGGTTCAAGCTGAGGCCCAACTCCAGGTCCAGGTCCAGGTCCATGTTCAGGCCCTGGTTCACTTACACATGCGCCGTTGGATGCACTCGTAAGTAGGGGTGCAGATCCAGGTTCAATCTCTGATTCAATTCCACGTCCAGGACTGAGTGTGGGAACAGAATGCGATGCCCTCTCAGCTGCCAGCCCTTCGCTTGCCCTTTCAGTGACAGATTGCTGGCCATGCTTTCCGCCACGGAAGCTGCTGCTGGACAGCAGGCCGCATGGTGGCTGCCTTTGGGAAGAAGCAAAATGCTGACCGCCGCTATCAGCTTCCGGATCCCTCGCATGCCCTGGCAAATCAGTTTGCCTCTCGCATGCCAACTGTGCTGCATCATGGCTGCTATGCCTCTCATTGCAATCACAATTCTCAACTGTAATCATTGTGGAATCCACCATGCCAATATGTCGACGTAGCGTCCAACTTGAAGGACCAGCCATCTCCTTGCCTCATTCTGGGAAGCTACAGCCCTTTCTACCATCGCTGGACAACAAAAAATGCCAAGACACCAACCACTGCACCAAGGATAATATATTAATATAAAAGAAAAGATAATCCAACTTTTTTTAGTCTTTTTGAGTTTTTATCAACTTCTAGTAAGTCTGTAGCGATTTCTAGGCAAACAATATCGACGAGTTAAAAAGAAAAATCAAACGCCCGCCACCCAAAAGGATCATTCAAACAAGTCCTAGACAATATACAGCCACTGCAATGACCGTTGCCCTTCACAATTACCGTTATTCTGTAATGATGAGGGATTACCGAAAACAACTTTAACTTAAACCACCAGTGAGCCCTTATTGGAATAGCCGGTAAGATCTTTTCAATTCGGACTAGGCCGGTACTGAAGGCGGAGGCCATTATCAAAAGTTCAGGTTGGAGGCTCCCGTGCACCTTGGAAGGTAGCTTCGTCAGCTTAGGTTCATGTGGACACTAAAGTTGAATTGTCAAATGACATATGAAAACAAGTTTATGACATATGAAAACAAGTTTATGACATATGAAAACAAGTTTATGACATATGCAAACAAGTTTTCTGAGAAGTCCGCTGCCTCTCTGATGAGTTCTTTTCCTCAACTTTCCATGTTTGCAAGTCTTTTTTCCATGTTTGGAAGTCTTTTTCCTTTTTCGGAAGTGGTGTTTTGGCTTGCCCTTGAGCGAATGGGCATCTTCTTCCAAAGTGTTGCTTTGTTCGAATGTGTCTAACAAATATAAGTGCTCCGCGTGATATCTAAAGGCCCTCACTGAGGGCATACTCAAACGGCTACTTGAGGGAATGTATCTGCCCGCTTTCGCGGCCAAATCTTTGTGTCCTTTCTTTTTTTTTGTTCTGCTTTTCTGAATCTGACCACGGTGCTGAAACGCCCTCACGGCGTACTCACACCTCTCCTCACAGAATGTATCCAAACTCTTTTTTCACAATCCGAAGCTTTGTTCCTTTTTGTTTTCCTTCCTTCTTTCATGAATCTCACCACAGGCACGAATTCATTTTTTTTAAAATTTTTGTGTGGATACCAGAAATTCAAAATTGAACGGGACCCTTCACACTCCAGGGCTCGGCAAAAAAAGGTGCGCAGTATAATTCGGGGTCGGCAAAAAGAGGCCCAGAGGTAGTGGTGGTTTAAAAAAAAAAAAAAAAAAAAAAAACAGCTCCAGTCTACTCATGGGGAGCAACACGTGCTGGGAACTCAGGCCCAGCATCCCATGAAGAAATTGATACAGAACAGATTGCGGTACCTGCCAAAGCTTAGTTTCTGTTTTTTATTTCTTCTTCTTCTTCTTGTGAGGAACAAGCCCTCAAGGGGCCCTATCAGACATCACATGTTCTGGGCTAAGGCCCCCAGCAAGCCGAGTGCCCGCCCTAAGTGAAGGCGGGCCTGAATATTCGTCAGAGGCCAAAATTCGACATTTCCATATGTGGGTATTCAGGCTCTCGCAGCACGCCAGTTGGTTGGGTAGACGCGTGAGCCTCACTAAGCTGCGCCATACAGTTGGCCCAGGCCTTGACAGTTGCGCCTGGGCACATACACACAAAGCAGGGCCGATACATTGGGAAGCAGGCCGCCGGCCTTTGGAAAAGCAGTACTGCCTACGCACCTGCCTGGGAGCCCTGCACAGATGCAGCAAACAGCCAAAGTCCAGAGACTCAGGCCGTGCCCAACTGAAAAGGGCCCAGACCCTCAACTGTAGGCTCGGGCCTGGGCGCAGGGTCTGAGGCCCAACCGGAAGCTATTGGAAGCTTCCAGCCAGGCCACACGCAGCATCCAGGAGGTTGCCACTTCCATAAAAGAAGTGAGGCAGCCCAGGCCAGGTATTCTGGCCAGTGCAGGCAATGCGGAAGTGCTGCTGCGCTATCGCTTGATGCTGCGCTGCTGCCAAGGGCGCTGACAGGGCGCGTAGTGGTGAGGTGGGGCGCTGCAGGGCAGCGGGGCGCAGGCAGCCATAGCCGGGCTGCTGGGCGCCAGGGGGTAGGAGGGCGATCTGGTGGTCTTCAGGGAAGGAGGCGCAGTGCGGGGTAATCAAGGTCTGATTGAGTGTGACGAGATACATACCTGGTACATGAAGAAAGGTCGGCTATGGTGTTGACAGTCATGTACATTGGTCTTCGAGAGTCGAAGTGAGCCTGTTGCGTGAACCAGATGTAGGTAGGATAGTCGGGTAGAGTAGGCTGGGCGCTGGGCGCCAGACAGGGAGAGCGACTTTGGATACTGTGTTGGTGTGGCCTACGGGCTTGGACATTGACTCATTACTTCATTGTATTGCTCTTGGATGGTTTTCTTGGTGCATTTGTACTCTCTGCTTGGACACGACTACTTGTACATCTGTGTGATTTCGCAACTTGGTTTTCGGAATATCGTTCACACTCATATTCCTTGCATTCTTCTTCTTTTATGAATTTCACGGCCACGACGACATAAGTTTTGGTATGGGTATCAAAAAGAAGAAACAAACGGGACCATCCCCGCTCCAGGCTTGGAAAAATTAGGCACGCAATTAAATTCAGGGTCGGCAAAAAGAGGATCAGAGGTAGTGGTGGTTTAAGGGGGAAAAAGTCAGATTTTGTTTTTGAGTTGGTGTGGGGGGAGGTGTCCAGACACTCTGGACCAGAAACCAGACCCAGACATCCAGACCCAGACCATCTGCACTGCAGTCCGGACGCCCGATCGTAACCTTTCAACACCCCCACGATAATGGGAGTAAGAACGAGAAACTACCATCTTCACCCGAATAGAAGGCCTGGCCATGCCCCAAAAAAATACAGCTACAACGACCGGGCGTTCTATTGAGGTGGTTCAGCGCCAAGTGCCTACACACCCATCTGCCGCTGAAGCAGCACACTTGCACATATATTTATTTCATAATCCATAAAAGGGTGGAGGGCAAAAGGCAACTTACCTAAGACAGAGGACTCCACCAGCAAGAAAGCACCGACCCTATCCACCATAGGTCGGAAAAAACTTGGAGAGCCCTCCGCGTCGGCCCACAAAACCACAAACTGAATTAAACAAACCCAACAGCATAACACAAAAGGCTCCACTAACAAAAAAGCACCGACCACACATACCAATGGTCTAAAAAAAAAATAGAGCCCTCTGCGGCGGCCTACAACGCCACCACAAATCAAAAACACACCGCAGGACCTGTACACAACACCAAGAGTGCCATGAACCTCTCCCTGCTGCACAACCTGCAGAATGAGATGATAACCTAGTGCTACAGCGAGGCCACTGCGAGTACGATGCCAAATTCCACAAGATCTCCTCGCGACAACAGGAGCATTACTGCTTAAAATACCCAAGAAGCTACCCCATTCTTCCATGTGCTCCGAAATTGCAGCCTGTGGGATAAGCCTCCTCACAAAGATATTGTGGCCAAAACCCCAAACTCCTACCCCAGAAAAAATGTGTGGCCACCCACATACATTACTTCATTGACAAGACAGCCCATGCTGCAAAGCAGGGCAAAGAATTCGGCGATGTATAAGAAACCAGACCACCAAAACACATCCATCCACAGAGAAAGAGTAGCTCGCTAGTACAAGCCCGATCCTAACCACTCAAATCTGCCAGGAGAGAGAGCTAGCAAGACCGGAATGTGTGTTTTTAAAAAAGCATCCCAAATTCTCTCTCTCATTCCCTCCACAAATCATAACAAGACTAAACAAGTATGTGTGTGTGTGTGTGTGTGTGTGTGTGTGTGTGTGTGTGTGTGTGTGTTGTTAAAGCACCACAAATTCTCTCTCTCATTTCCTCCAAAAATCATAACAAACCATCCATAGCGTAAACGTGTAGATAGACAATATAATAGCAAATGCAAGGTTGGCCACGTGTGTGTGGTTCAGCGCCAAGTGCCCACACACCCGTCTGCCGCCGAAGTAGCACACAAGCACAGCTATTATATACATATATTTATTTGAACCATAGAAGGGTGGAGGGCAAGAAGCAACTTACCTAAGACAGAGGACTCCACCAGCAAAAAAGCACCGGGCCCCATCCGCCATAGGTCCCAAAAAAACTCGGAGAGACCTCTGCGTCATCCCACAAAACCACAAAACAGCATAACACAAAGGGCTCCACTAACAAAAAAAGCACTGGCCACACATCCCAATGGTCAAAAAAAAAATCAGAGCCCTCTGCGACGGCCTACAACGCCATCACAAATCAAAAACACACCGCAGGACCTGAACGCAACACCAAGAGTGCCATGAACCTCTCCCTGCCGCACAACCTCCAGAATGAGATGATAACCTAGTGCTACAGCGAGGCCACTGCAAGTACTATGCCAAATTCCACAAGATCTCCTCGTGACACCAGGAGCGTTACTGCTTAAAATACCCCAGAAGCTACCCCATTCTTCCATGTGCTCCGAAATTGCAGCCTGTGGGAATGACACCCACAGCAAACACTCTCTGCGAAGCCACCTCGCAAAGGTATTGTGGCCACAACCCCAAACTCCTACCCCAGACAAAATGCGTGGCCACCCACAGACATTACTTCATTGACAAGACAGCCAATGCTGCGAAGCAGGGCAAAGAATTTGGCCATGTACAAAACACATCCATCCACAGAGAAAGAGTAACTCGCTAGTACGAGCCCGATCCTAACCGCTCAAATCTGCCAGGACAGAGAGCTAGCAAGACCGGAATGTGTGTTTTTAAAGAAGCATCCCAAATTCTCTCTCTCATCCCCTTCACAAATCATAAGAAGTGTGTGTGGGTGTGTGATGATGATGTGTGTGTGGGTGTGTGTATGTGTGTATGTGTGTGTGTGTGTGTGTGTGTGTTGTGATATTCGCTATACACTCAAAAAAAGCATGACTGTACCAGACTGTTTTGTCGGACTTTCACCGGCTCATCAGGAGGTTGAACCCCGACAGTCTGCCCAGGATGCACTTGAGTGATGGATAAGGACTCACCACATCCCCCAGAGTTAGTGATACCCCTGAGAAAAGTGGTCGCCTTACTCTCACCAACCTTGCATGTGTGTGTGTGTGTGTGTTGTCATATTCGTTATACACTCAAAAAAACCATGACTGTACCAGACTGGTTCGTCGGACTTTCACCGACTGATCAGGAGGTTGAACCCCGACAGTCTGCCCAGGATGCATTTGACTGATGGATAAGGACTGACCACATCACCCAGAGTTAGCGATACCACTGAGAAAAGTGGTCGACTTTACTCACACCAACCTTGCAATCCTAGCAGACTGCCGGTCCAAACCCCTGACAAGAACGGTAGTAAGTCTGAGAAACTAATCTGACACAGTCATAAAACCCACTCTACACACCTACCCAGCCATGGACACCCAATGGCATGACCGCTAGTACAGTCCCGACCCTAGCCGCATCGATCCGCTGACCGGAGAGCTTAGCAAGGCCGTGTTGTGTGTTGTCATATTCGATATACACTCAAAAAAAGCACGACTGTACCAGACTGTTTCGACGGACTTTCACCCACTCATCAGGAGGTTGAACCCCGACAGTCTGCCCAGGATGCATTTGACTGATGGACTCACCACATCGCCCAGAGTTAGCGATACCCCTGAGAAAAGTGGTCGACTTTACTCACACCAACCTTGCAATCCTAGCAGACTGCTGGTCCAAACCGCTGACAAGAACAGTAGTAAGTCTGAGAAACTAATCTGACACAGTCATAAAACCCACTCTACACAACCACTCACCCATGGATACCCAATGACATAACCACTAGTACGGTCCCGACCCTAGCCGTGTGTGTGTGTGTGTGTGTGTGTGTGTGTGTGTGTGTGTG